AGCCCTGGGCCCAGGAGACGGGGTGACAGTGGCTGGCTGCAGCCCTGGGCCCAGGAGATGGGGTGACAGTGGCTCAGACAACCGCCAAGGCTGGCGCAGGACCAGGCGGAGGTTTGCTCTGTTGTCCGTGGCGTCCTTCTGGTCAGAATGGACTCCAGAAGGCAGGAACCAGCCCGAGAGAGGGACGGCTGGCACCCTGGCGCAGCTCAGTGCCCAGCACGTGCAGCAGCAGGCTGCAGTTCCCAGCACTGGCACATGCAGAAACGTGCAGTCGTCGTTTGGTCACGCGGGGCGACTGGTCCGTCATTCAGAGGAAAACCTGAATCCGCCCTGATTGTGTTGCCTCCGAACGTGTATCCCGGTGGATGCGAGAGTGAAAAATAACTAGGAGGCGAAGGCCTCTGGTCTGAGAGGAGAGGGAAAGGGATGATGACCCTGGTGTTCCAGAGGCTCTGAGAGGGGATGGGTATCGCCCCCCCTCCCAGGCCCCAAGAGACAGATGCCAGGCAACCAGGCTGCCATGCGGGTGAAGACAAGCTAGCATTTGTCAGTGACTGTAAACAAATGCCTTTCTCGGTAGAGACATGTCTTTACAAAACAACCCCCAGACCACACTGCCCACCATTGGAACTGTCCTGTGGCCTTCCCATGGCCGGCCACCTTTCCCACACAGCACTGGGGGGTGGGGGTGGCGTGGTCAGCAGCTGAGCTAGTAACCATTGCACCACCAGGGCTCCTTTGAAAACAAGATGCTCCAAAGAAGAGGCCGGACCTGGGGAAGAGATGCTTCCATAGCTGTGCCCGTCCTGGTGGGGAAGGCGTGCCGGCCAAACAACCATCAGACAAAGACCCAGTCCGGTGAGATCCCATCACGGCCACACAAGACCCAGGAGCTGGCCTCATGCAGAAGATGGACTTCAGTCATCCCACCTTCCATCTGGCAGCCCGGGTGGCTCCTCCTCAGCAAGCCAGCCTGGAGAAAGGAAGTGGGGGCTTTGCTCAGAACAAACTCGGAGACAGCTGCAGACGTGCACCTGGGCCAGTGCCCCTGGTGCCAAAGGGGGAGACAAGAGCATGCCACTCGAGCCAGTCTCAGGTGTTTATGGGAACAAGATGTCCAGGGTCTGAAGCCCTTTCCCTCGCTGCCCAGGCCGCCGTGCTGGCTGACAGGGTGCCCTGCTGCCGGGTCTGCACCGGCATCGTGAAACCCGACGTGGTGTTCTTCGGGGAGCCGCTGCCAGAGAGGTTCCTGCTGCACGTGGTCGACTTCCCCGTGGCGGACCTGCTGCTGGTCCTCGGCACCTCGCTGGAGGTCTGCATCGGGTGGTAGGAATGGGGCAGGGCAACAGCTTGCCACTGGCACTTCTGCGTTGGCTCTGAGCACTCGGTCTGCCTCTGGGAGATGGGTAGGTTCAGCTGGTGAGGAAGAGGGCAGGAAGGAATAGGGCCCAGATGAGCCAGGCAGAAGTGGATGGGGCAGGAGGTGTCAGAACCCCAGCGCCTGTCGGGTCCTTTGCAGGTGGAACCTTTCGCCAGCTTGTCTGAGTACGTCCGCCACTCCGTGCCCCGAGTCCTCATCAACCAGGCTGTGGTGGGCACCTTCGCGTGGCAACCTAGGGGCAGAGATGTGGTGCAGCTGGGGGACGTGGTACACGGCGTGGAGAAGCTGGTGACGCTGCTGGGCTGGACCGAGGAGATGCAGGACCTCATGCGGCGGGAGAGGGAGAAGGTACCGAGGGTGGGCGGGGCACATGGTTAGGCTCTGGGTGGCCTGTCCTAAACACCAATCAGTGCTGGCAGCAACAGCATGGGGTGGGGTGGGGGAGGGGCATGTGGATGTGAGTGGCAGCTGGTAGGTGTGGACAGGAGTGTGAGTGGGGGTCTTGTCCGGTGTGTATGGGCTGGTGATGTGCCCATGAGCTGGTTGGCGGTCTACACTTTCCAGCACTGCTGGCTTGTTCTCACGGATTGAAATAAACCTGCCCCCAGCAGCTCCCGGGCGGCACCTGGCTCTGAGACACAGCTGGGAGCTGGGCTGCTAAGGTGCTCTCATTGAGGGCATGTCGTCACCAACATCCTCCGTTCCCAGGATTGGGTGCTTAGGGACACAAGCGCTGGGAAAGACGCCCACTCACCTGTGTCCGCTGGTTCTGCCAGGGGTCACAGGGAGACCCCCGGCAGGCCCATATGAAAGTTTCTGTATGCGCATTTCTTTGGAACACGAAGTGTCGGGACTGCACACAGCAGGACACGCCAGTCCAAGTTTCCATGTGTGCAGTTCACTCATCCTCATCTGCCTGCTCTGTGCCTCGCCCCAGTGCCCCCAGAGGGCCTCCCCACCCCCGTGAATGTCACTCACTGCCCCTTGAGGGCCTCCCCCCACCTTGTGAATGTCACTCAGGGCTCCGGAGGCCTCTTTAACCTTGAGTTGTTTTTGTCAGTTTGAGTCCGTCAGGTGGTTCTGAAGAGAACATAATGCTCATGTCAGACTGTCTTTACTGTTAGGCTGAACAGTGGCTTGGTTTCGAGACAGTGTCAGGGGACAGTTCTGGTTTCAGGCTTAAAGATGACCCAGGGCAACAGTCTCAGGTGATCATCCAGCCCCCGGGGCTCCAGAAAGGCTAGAGTTGATGAGAAATTTAAAATTTCTTCTGTAGCACCCCCTTCATCAGGACTCTACTATAGACTCTTTGATCAAACCCTCGAGTAGTGAAAGCTGAGCGCCGTCCAGTTCTCTGGCTTCGTGGCGGAGGAGCCCATTCCCAAACCCACTGCCCTGAGTCCTCCGAGACTCAGTGACCCTGGATCGTGCTGCTGGGACCGCTTCACCCTGCTCCTGCGTAGCTGCTGCGGGGCACCTGGCGGCGGCTCCGAGGGCCTTGCACGTTGGACACCCTCCTCCTCTCAACTGCCAGCGGAGAGAGCAGTGGTTGTGCAGGATGGACCCCTCAGGGTTGCAGACCCCCGCATCTCGCAGGTGGAACAGAAGCACTAAGGACACGAGAGCAGTTAGCTGGCACGTTGCATGAGACCCTCCATCTCCAAGCCAAGGAACTAGGTCCCACACCTAGCAGCTCAGCAGCGACTCTCCTGTTAACTGTTGTAATTAACTGTCACACAGTCTTTTGCCAATCCAGCTTTTCTAAGCACACAGCTTAGTTATCCTCAGCTGTGCAGTGCCCCCCTTCATTCCGTCTGTCCAGCGCCTTTAACCTTCCTCCTCATCCTCTGCCCTCTCGTCCCTGCTGAGCAGCAATAAACTTTACAGTGACTCCTTCACTTTAAAGACAGCGTCTGTGTGCTCGCCTCCTTCACTCCCATGTCGTCAATCTCCATCCGTACTGTACCATCCCTGTTGAGTGTGTGAATGCCAGTCTGAGTGGTGGCCCATCATGTGTCTACCACTGGGGCCCCTCTGCCTGATGGCCATTTGGTGGTTCACACCCTGTTCTAGGATTGGCACTGCTGGGCTTCCCTCACCTGTGTGTTCGCGGGCCCATCTTCCTTTCCTCTCGTGATGTAACGGCGTCCACATCAGGAGTGTGGCGCACAGAGCAGTGTGGCCGAGCTTGTACACTCGACAGCCGCTGGCCAGCTGAGACCTTTCTCCCAGCCTAGAGCCCTTCCCAGCAGCAGGCAATCGTGTGCACGGGGCGGGGTCCTGCTTTCAGAGACTGCCTCGTGAGGCCTGCTGCCACCTGACTGCCACATTCTTGTGTTGCAGCTCGGCGCAGGGAAGAGTTAGGTGTGGTGTCCGTGGCTGCCAAGGAGGCCACCATGAAGGAAACCACATCTACTGAGCTGCCCTTGTGCCAGGACCTCAGTGAGCATGTGGCATGGGACCCCAGGACCAGAGCAGGCGTGTCAGCATCTGAGTACACAACGGACGCTCCAGGCTGGCTTCTCTGCACAGCCACCCAAAGAGCTATCCAGCGTTCTTCTGGTGGCCCTCGGGAGTGGAGAACTGCAGGATCTCAGACCAGCCCTTGGCGTTGCCCAGTTGGATCTGATGGCAGCCTCAAAGCCAAGTTGGTCCCCAGTGTGTCCCCCAGACCTGGGTATCTTCAGGGTCTTCCAGTGGTTGTTTTAATTCAACAAACCTGTCCCCCTTTAGTGGCATAAACTGTAGTCTAAAAACTGGGCATCTCTTCATTTCCATCTTCATAAAGAACCAAGCATGGGCATGAAGGGGTAAGGGCCCCAGCTGTTGGCTTGCCTGCTAAGATTCCTGCACCCACCCCAGCCCTTTCTCCATTGCTCCACGGCCTTCTGGCAGTGCCTGCCCATCCTTCCACCACTTCCCCTCACTGCGGACCCAACCAGCTTGTCCCTGAGCCACCAGAGCCCACAGGTCCCAGGCGCCTGCCTTCAGGCCCCCACACGCCTCCCACCTGCTGATAGATGCCTTTCCCCCATCAGCTCCAGGGGGCCAGGTCTCTAGAAAACATAGGCATCTGGTCTGAGGAGAAGGATGCAAGTTTCTAAAGTTTCTTTGCTCGTCACAATGCAGACATACCACACACGTGTTCTCATGAAGTCTTTATTCTAAGACAGTGTCCTTGTGGCCGGAGAAGGGGCATTCTTCCCAGGGACATTTCAGTCTGGGTCGATGTCCGTACCTGGGGGGCAGCACCCTCGCAGGTTGCGGGGCGGACACTTTCCTCGGGCTCCCAGTTAGTGCAGGATGAGCCCTGCCAGCACGGAGACGAAGCGGAGCCAGAGGACACGCGAGCAGCCTTGGGCGGACGGGGGCCGTCCACAGGCAGCAGCTCAAGGGCAGGAATGCTGAGCCTCAGTCGGGGTCCGAGTCGGGATCTGAGGAGAGCTGCCCCTCCAAGGTCTGGCACATGGCATCCTGCAGAGATGTGAGGTGACCGCGGGGACTCATGCCCATGGGCTGGATGACGCGGTGCCTGCAGAGAAAGTCTCATTGGGCAGTTGCTCCATCCAAGGAGCTGGACCCCAAAAAACTTCCTGGCTCTTGAAACTCTAGTCGCCCCCTTGCCAGCCTCGAATGGCATCCAGGGTGTGAGCTCTACCTGGAGAGTCTGTCGAACATGTTCACCAGCTTCACTGCCTCGTGCTCCTTCTGCTCCTCCGTCATGCCCTCCATGGGGTTGGGAGGCTTCTCCTCCACTCGGCCTGTCACTGGGTTGATGCTGCCTCCAGGAGAGCGGCCATCAACACCCGCCCCGGGGAGGGGCTACCACACCCACCCTCCCATGCCCCTGCTGCCGCACACCTGGCCCTGGCCTCCTTGTACTCCTCGGTGTCTGTGTCCTCATCCTCTGAGTACTGGCCCGGGGCCTGGTTCCCTGCCATGAGACCACGTGCAGCCAGGAGGCCGGCAGCATTCCCGTAGCCTGTGTACTTGACGAATCGGGGTACTGAGGGAGGAGTGGGGGGTCAGAGCTGGATTCGAGGGGTGGGCGGGTGGGGGATGGGGGCAACCAGCTCCCACGCACCGCTCTCGGCACATAGCACAAACAGGAACTCGGCAGCCACGCGCTTCACGTCCGTGTCCAGGTGCGTCATGAGGCGGACCAGCCTGTTGCGTAGTAGCTCCCCGACCTCAGGGCGCGTGCTCACATCCCGCAGCGGGGGCAGCACCTGGAGGCAGCTGTTTCTCAGCACAAGAGTGGCAGCCTCCAAATCCAGTCCAGCCCAGCCCGCCCCTGTACCTGGGCCTTCAGGAACTTCCTAGCAGGACGGTGCACCCGGGCACACTCGGTCAGCACACTCAGCACAGGGGCCACGCTCTCTTTCAGCCGATGAGTCTGTGGACAGGCGCCGGTCACCTGCCCAGCCCCACCACTGGCCAGTCCTGGCAGTCGGGGCTCAGACAGGACATGGGGACCAACTGTGTAGTGGCATCTGCTCCAAGAAGCCCTGCAGCCCCAATCAATCAATCAACCAACCTCTCTGTCCTTTTGCCATCTGCACACCCTTTCTGAAGGCCAGGGTGGCCGTCTGAGCAGTCTAGCGAACAAGCACCAGTTCACTTGAGAGGCCCCACCCCCTCAGTCAGTGTGGGCTGCCCGAGGGTGAATGTGGCAGAGACAGGTCCACAACAGGCTAATGTTCCCCGAAGCAGGCCTGTACCACTGCAAGCTCCCAGGGGTCTGCTGAACCCCAGCCTCCTGGGGGACACATGCCACACACATGTTCTGCTCAGGCAGGCAAGGGCAACACTGGGTAGTGGGCTTGCCTGCGGACACAAATCCCAACTATCACAGGTCACGGGCAACAGAGGGTTGCTGTGTATGGACACTTAAGAATCTCAGGGTCACATCAGGGCTAAGGGCTGCCCAGGACTACCTAAGGAGACAAACCCCAAGGCCTAGTACCCCACTAGACTCTGTAAGCCCAGCAGCATTCCTTCAGAAGGGGCTTCAAGTGCTGCCCAGGGAACCACAGGGTGCTGGAGGGCACACCCAAGTTACACCAGAGGTCTCTGCTTGCCAGAGCTGGTGATGACAAAACAGAAAAAAGGTGAGCCCAAGGTCACACACACACACCCCTGCCTACCTGGTCCAAACGCCGCTCCAGGAAGCCGAGGAGAGCATGGATGACATCCATGTTCACGCCCATGAACTCCAAGGAGCCAGGGTGCGGCTCAGGGGTGAGGGTGTCCAGGCACTCGGGGGGCAGGTTCCCTAGGAGGTTCACCGCGTGCCTGTGGACACCCACGGCTTTGACTGGGCCAGTCTCCCGGCAAGTCCCCAGTGCCACTCTGAAGGGGTACTGGTGGCACTAGGGATGCCCATACCTCAGACAGGTGAAGTGGGACTCTGGGGAGGACCTGCCTCTCAGGCATTTATCACCCCCATCCCCCTTACCCGTGCAGCTGCTCGGTCCTGTCTCCTGCAGCCGACAGCATCACGCAGTGGCGAAGGAGGGTGCCCAGGTGCCGGTACAGGGCAGCATCTTCCTACCAGAACAGGGGATTAGGGTAGGAGGGAGCCTCACTCACCCTGCTACTGCCAACTGGGATGCTCCCATCCAATGGCCCCACAGCCCGCCCTGACTCACAGTCCTTCCACTGCACAGCTGGGTAACAACAGCCTTGGCTCCAGTTAGGGGCACCAACAGACCCCCTAGGGTGCAGGCCACACACAGCCTCCCCTTGTACCACACACCTGGGGCTCTCAGGGCCTGCAGACCAGGGCCTCCCTCCTCAGGAGGGATTCTAGGAGACTCCACATGGCAGGTCCCACACTCAAAGGCATCTGCGGCTGTGCCCTCACCTCATCCACTTCCCTCTTGACAGAGTCGAAGGTGATGTTGAAGAGTACTTTGAGGATCTCCATGGCCCGCTCTGTCTCCTGGCCAGGGAGGGGCTCCAGGGGGCTGTCCTCCGGGGCTGAACCCAAAGTCAGCTCCAGAGTGGCGGTCAGCAGGCGCACCCCCTGCAGCTCCCGAAACAGCTGCTGGCGCACATCGGGGCACAGCGCTGTGAGCAGGAAGAGGAGCCGCAGGTCAAAGAACCGGACATCGTGCGGGACGCCCTGCTGGCTGTGCAGCTGCACCCGCTCGGCTAGCCTCACCACCAGGCCGGCCTCGGCAGCCAGGACCTGTGCCGTGGGGCTGCTCAGCACCAGGTTGCACAAACACTTGAGTGCCTCGAGCATGACGTCCATGTCCGGGGGCTCAGAATCAGGCCCCTCAGTGGTCGAGATGCCGGCGTGGCGGGCCAAGGCCTGCAGGCTCGGGCGGCTGGTGAACCGGTCCAGGCAGCTGCGGTCGCGGGACAAGATGCGCAGGCTCTGCAGCCAGGCGGTGCGTCGGGAGGGCGGCAAGCCCTGCTCCAGGGCCGACACCAGCAGCCCGGCCAGCCTCTGTGGACAGAGAGGGGCTGCTGCTCCACCGGCACCAGCGTCGTGGGCCCCTCGGGCCCTCCGCCCAGCTCTCCCCCGCCCGCCCCCCCAGCCCCGGCCTCGGCCCTCCCGGCCGCACCCACCTTCCGGTCCTCCTGCTGGCCATCCTCA